ACTACTAACAGGAGTAGGCTATAAGAACTGAAAAATAGGTATTGTTTTGTAGTGGGACTAATGCGTTATTGTGTAACGCATCACAGCAACTACGTTATTATTGTGGTAACGACCATGGTAACTAGTTATTATGCCGAAATCAGGAACGCGTTAATCGTTACTGGGATTTAGATAGGGTCGTTATTCGTTACTTTGTGTGTTGCGTTTGACTTACCTCGAAATCGGAACACGGACCTGGGAATAATGTCACACTCGAGTAAACGGCGTTCTGGTTAGCCTTGTCAGGGAAGTCGGGATTCCAATATGGCCATGCCCTTGAAAATGGTTGTTTTGCTAGCCCTCTACAAAAAGAAATTACTACTAAACACATATGCAGCCATAGCTGGACTCGGTGGGCCGATGGTGTGTGTAGTTTATTTTCGTTATGCTGACTTTTTACAGTCAGTTACAATCACTCATACTGCGTACTAGCTAGCATGACGGAGTTTATATACTGCTGGGCGGGTGCTATGATGTTACTGATAGTGAACTTTATTTTATTCGTAAGGTTAGTTATAAGAGTTGCCAGCCGTCCTGTAAAAAACATAATCGTCCCATATTCAGAGAAAATATTTCATATTGAGGTGAAAAGGAAAGCAATTTGGCCCGTACTTCAGCTACAATGAAAAAAAGACACAAAGCTGGAGTTATTCTGTGTCTTTACGCTGCAGCTGTCTCTTCTTCTCTCATCCTCTGCCCCCTCCCTCTCCTGTTGCTACTTCAATCATGAAGCTGATCAATGATCAGCTGATCGGCTTTTCTGTCCTAAGTCCCGTCTCTCTTGTTTGTTTATTTTTGTTTTCACTTTGCGGCAGAAAGAAGAAACCAGTGGAGGTCGCGTTAAACAACATGTTTAAGCTTGGTCAGCTGTTGTTAGAATTTATTTAACGTTACCTTCTACTATCAGCTGATGTTTGCTGGAGACAGGGCTGGTCATGATATCGGTTTGGTTTTCTGGTGAGAGGGAAACATGAAGATAAAACCAGGAGACGTCCTTACTGAATCTACGGAGCCCCGCAGGGGACATGGGAGAAAAAAAATTAAGACGGACTTTTGCGAGATCTCGCAAAACTAACTCGGGATCTCGCAAAACTTTTGCGAGATCTCGCAAAAGTCCATCTTAATTGTTTTTTTTTCTCCCATGTCTCCTGCGGGGCTCCGTATGAATCATAAGAGCTGAACAGGGGATGGAGAAACAGGTTTACCTTTTAGGTGACATGAATGAGTTGAAGGGAAGTTATGAACTGTTTCTGAGAGACAAATAACACAAAGGATCCTTTTTTTTTAATACGACAAGACAGTGTACATCACTGTCACAACAGCGTTTGTTTTTGTTCAAAGGCTTTATGGTTTTTCCTATAATGGCGGGCCGGTCTCTAGTCAAAATGCCCAGGCCGATTTTTTTGTCCCAGTCCAGTATGCAGCTCATCTGCAGTCTGGTGTTACCTACATCTTCCTACACGGAAGGCAGAATTTCCGAGCTCTGAGTACAATCGAAAGCACCACAACTGCAGTTTTCCTGTTGGATGTAAAAAGCGCACATGACGCTGTGATGTAGGTTAGAATCATAGCGGCAGTTGACGACAGTCCAGGCGTGGGATTTCTCTCGTGGAAATATGCACATCATTTTTTCCCTTCTATTGGTAGGTGGCACAGTGCAGTTGTGGCAGGATAGTGCTAACACATTAAGAAGAGAATTCTGAGTAAAGCCAAAGTTACTTTCCCTAGTAACTAGTTACTTTGAAAGTAATGACTAATTTGAAGTAACTGATTTACTAGTAATGTAACTAAGTTACTAATTTAAAGTAACTTACCCAACACTGTAGTTTTGTATACTTAGCTTAGCATTTTCAGATAATACATTTATGGACAGCCAGAACCAAGCACTACTTTTAGAGCCAGAAGCATTAGCTAAATGCACTAAGTTTGTTGGGTTCAAGGTTATTACATCATCAACATTAAATATGCAAATAACAACCAAAAAGGGGTGACAGGCAGCCCAAGATTTTTCTTTGATCAACAAACTCAAACACATGGCTACACACTTTAGGTTTCATTAGCTCTCCTATCAAGAAGGGGAAAAAAGAAATATGAGCTTTTTCTAAATTTAAAACACACCAGTGGTTAGAAGAGTGAGGCGTGTGACCACTGGAGGGTATCCACATGAATTTATACCTTCAAAGTGTATCACAACTCACACCTTCAAACACTATTACCAACACACAGTGTCTTGTGACAGGCTGACACCCCCGGCCCTCTCTGCAGATCAAGACTGCCAATCAGCAAAGGATTTGGGACGTTAATGTTAGAGCCACATCAAAGGAAGGTCTGCATTATCCCCCCTTTAACAAAACTCATTTTCGGACCCCGAAGCTTGAGTTCAAGCTTAAGAACTAAAAGGGATATGTAGAAGCAGAATATTTTTTATTCCCTTTCCCCAAGAGTCATATGCTCAAAAGAATAAACGACTTCAATAATAAGACTATTATTTTATTGAGTCACTCACCTTTATACAGTATGCCTAGGGAATGTAAAACTCTAGCTATACATCTTTGTGTGTAGGTAGTAGCTATTGTATTATTAGCCTGTAGTTAATACATATATATGTATATAATAAGCCATTTCCCTTGACTGTTAATTGATCACATTTTGGTTTTTGAAATTGTATAGATCGCTGCTAGTCTTTTATTTTGCAGTTTGCAAGAATGTGTGTTTTTCCATTTAAAGTCAGTAGTAAAGCTGTCCTCAACTATCTCCTGACTGTTCAATACAATAAACATCTAAGAGAACAAACTGACTAGTTAATTAAAAATACTGTTAATTGGTGCCAAAATGAATTCTAAAATTACAAGAACAAAAAAACAATCTTGAACAGTACTACAGACTGCTTGATTTTGAGTTACATTCAAAGTAGAATGAAATAGGACTCACAGCAGATACTTTAGCTTTCCCTGCTATGATATGCCAAAATATCTGGTGTAAAAAAGGTAAATGCTCTGCACTTACATAGGGCCTTTTAACCTCACCAGTTCTACAAAGTGCTCTAAAAAGTGGGTGTTGTGCATCCTCACACACTTACACACTAGATACTGGAAGTGCTGACCTGCTATAGGAGGTCCAGAGTCTTGCTATTTTGCAGATGGGGATGGAGCACCAATGCAATAATACATCTTAATTTACTTTTAATTATTTTTGTCTTATTAAAGAAAAAAATTACAAAGATAAATGTTCATATTACACATTGCCAAAGTTTTATACAATGAAGTCAGTATATTTAGAAACCACTGGATGATAATCGTTTATTCATATTCCCTTTGTCTCATTACATGTGAACTACAATATTAAGATTACAATGGATTTCCAAACTTGTTAAAAAAAATTATTTTAATCAAGGTTGAGAAATAATTATAACTTTTCTTTCATTTGCATGTCTGTGTATTACTGCTAATGTGACCAGGACCTTTTGTGTGTCTGAGGGACCAGTTCTGGCCTACGGGCCAAATGTTTGTCACCCTTGGTTAAATATTGAAGGTCAAGGAAATACAACAACCACAATGAGTATCTTCAATATTTTAAACGCAGTATTATAAGCCAGTAGATTTGGTCCTAAACCCCATGGCAACAAATGAAACCACATCCTCCATCACAACCAGAGATGTTGCCCAAAGCAGGGAAAAAAAGATAAAAAGAGAGAGAAAAAGATATTATGGGACATCCCTCTAAATGGGACTCCATTCCTACTGCCCGGCTTCCAGCCTAACCACATTATCTGCACCTCCTCCCTCACTCTTCACAAACTCCATTCCCACCAGCCCCCCTGCACACACACGCTCTCTCTGCTAGAAGCCATCATTCCACCGTGTATGTTCAGCTGGCCCGTCAAGTCCCCATCTAGCCAAGTGCCCAACCATCTGTTGAGCCTAAGACAGCATGCAGCTCTGAAACCAGAAAGGAAATGTTTTATCAAATGATGAACTTATCTGCATTCAAACAGCAGCTTTCAGGGCCTCTGGGCTCAGAACTCATGCAGGGCATGCCACAGAACTACAGGCGAGGCTTCACTTATAAAAGACGTAGTCTTGGCTTTGATTAAGCAAGCAATGCGCTTCCTTTAACCTCATGTATTTCAATTTCTAACCATTAAAATATAGTTTTTCCTTCTAGTTACATCTAATTTTTTGTATGCTTTAAAAAAAAGTTTCAATAACTTATTTGCCACATATTTCTTCACACTGTGAGTTCACATTGCAGGCCTTGAAATATGATTCGGCTGACTCAATGGATCTGATAAAGGTTGCTGCAAAAATAATTCCAGACACTTTCAATGAAACCCAATGACAGTAAATATTTCCTATGGCCTGAGGGTGTGAGGGTATGCAGTCACCTTAGCCAAGGGCATGAAAAACTAACAGGTCTCTGCAGGCCTGAGGCTATTATGGCTGAGTGAACTTCAGCTTGGGTGAGTTCACCCTGCTTAAACTCACTGCAGTTAAGCTACCAGTCACCTCTATTATCCTATTAGTCAGCAGCACTTACAGTACAGTATGGAAATCAGCCGTACTGGTCTTGTAAGCAAAATTCATTGGAAGCTTTCCAAAGTTTTAACCTTAAAGATTCTCGGCAGATATTAACTGGGGATGAGCTTGTCATTTACCCTTGCATTTATTTATATATTTATTTTAATAGAGGAAAAGGAATGAGTGAGAGAGAATGATGAAAAAAGACCCATAAATTGATGAAATAAATTCTTTATCACTTTATAAGCGCTTGGTGATTCCTGCGGCACCGAGCTGCGGGCTAACACCAGGACCCGGTCACGCATGCCAAAGGAAGGGAAAGGAAGAAAAAATAAAAACATCCTGATGCAAGTGTGTGCGAGTGAGGATGCTGAGGGGCGTAGCAGCGCTGTGCCCCTCATGGTCAGCGCTCAGGAATTAAAATGCATGCTCCTCACTGCCTGGGAGAGAGTAACGTGTAGTCCGTTTACGTGAGAAAACCTGTTTCCAGCCTTCCCTCCTTCACGGAAACAAACTGAAACCCCCCCAAGAAAAGCAAAAACGCACGGATGTGCCGCTTGTTCCAGGAGGGGGGGAGTAAACCTCCTCCCAGCGCTGTCACATTCAAACAGGCAACGGTGCGAGGTTGCCAGTTTGGCGCTATCCCCCCCTCTTCCTCCCTGCTCCTTTAAATTGGACCTTTGGAGCTGTAGCTTGTGGCTGATTTGCATTATTCCGTTGTTTGTGGAGCTGAAGCTGAAGCCGCCGTCACTCCGCGCGGGAATAAAGGGACTTCGCCCGCAGCTCCGGGGACTGACTTTAGGTGAGTGTGGGATCACCGCGCGTGGCTCTAACTGTGTGGACTGCGGTAATAATCACGTCCTATTCTACGTATAGCTTTTAAGCTTAGGTGCCTTACAGTGAGCGGCGCGCGTGCAGGTTTTTAAAGTATTTTAAAGTGCGGCTGAGAAGGTGTTGCGCTGCAACTTTCTGCTGCAACAAAAATAAAAAAATCTGCACAATTATTCAGTTGCGCACTGAGAGAAAAGAGATGCATGCTTTCTAATGTTGAGAAAGTGTCATGCTGAAATGTGCACAGTTAGGAGAACAGTTATCGGTGGCCGTAAATCATATTTCACTCTGTTTGTGTAAATATCTCTTAATAAAGGAAACAGCTCGCACTGGAGGGTCATGTTGAGAAAAACAACTTATTCTCTTTGAGGACTGGATTTGGATTTCCCACATTTCTGTTCTTCGAGATTTAAGAGAAAAATGACCAAAAGGACAAACTCATCCTCTTATACTCTTATCCCATCAAAGCATCCAAAGAAGGCAGAGATATGCTGCATGGACCATTCACTGCGTTCAGGGTAACTGTTGAATATACAGTAGCAGTGCCAAAAAAGGTACCAAGAGGGTCAGTACTGACTATACTGATACTTTTTACTTGTTAAGGCAGCTTATGTAGGCGAGAGCTTCGTGTCATGGGTCAGCTTTGTCAACTTTCCGTGTATTTTCAAACTGTGTGTGTTTTTGGAGACCTAGAATTTAAATGTAGCTGTTTCTAAAGTACTTATGGTTAACTGCTGTTGTTTAAATGTGCTCTAGGCTATGAATAAAATAACCATGAGAGTAAATGCAAAAACGTTTAAGGTATATGTTTAACACAATTCAGTCGGGCTATATACTGAACTTACAGGGTAGAAACAAAGTATCGATCCTATCATGCCAGTATTAGTCCGATACCAGTGTTGGTATCAATGACTGTCAATATCTACTGAAAGGGAAACAGGTCTGTGCTGAGTACATTTCAGGAGCTGTCTGGGGGATGCTGCAAGCAGCCTCATTAAGTTAAAGCAACAATGTTCGCTGTCAGAAATCCTTTCAGTTTGTTGTAAACATTAATCACTCCGGGTTCCATTGTATGCTTAATATCCCAGTGTTCATAAACTCCAGGTTTATGAGTTTTGTAATGATCTGTATTTTGCACGAGACGTCACCTCATTTACTAATGAAGGCGTCTGCCAGCAGGCTGGTTCATTTTCTCCTGAAACCTCTCCTTGCCATTATAAATAATAAGCAAGTAGAACCCATTAGCTCAGCCAGTTCCTCATCATGTCTCCAATCAGACTGGATGGCGTGACCTTGGGGTGGGTGGGGGACCGTGCTGCAGCATTTAGAAAGGAGGGTGGCAGAGATGGAGATGGGTTGCTTTTGGTGGCATCCGTTATCAAGGAACCCAATTATATCAAGAAAATGTGGTTGCCATAAGCAATTGCCATTTGTTACGCCGTATAAGATAGTGGGGCTATTTGGAGAGAAATGTGTGTTATTCTGATAATATGTACTTCGGACAGCTCTGGGTGTCGGCCGTCTCATCTTAATGTGCGTCTTTTAATTTAAAAGAAAGGTATGATTCTTCAGAATGAAAAGTCCTTTGTGAGCTCCTTTCAACAACGGTGCATGGAAGAGGCAATGAGTCACAGTGAATCATGGCAGCCTCTCACCAGCTGCCAGCCAGATGAAGACACGCTGCAAGCAAAAAGTCTGACGAAACTGCAGCCGCACTCGTGTGCTGCTCTTTCTACTTCAAAGCACGCCGTGGTATAACGTATAGCGTTCCACGAGCACGCCTAACAGCTCGTTCAAAGTTTGAGTAAGTTTCTCTAACAATCTGACTTCCAGTTTTGTTTTCAGATCTTTCCTGCGAGGTATTTCCAGCTTAAGCTGCCGTGGTGTAAAGGCTATGCTAAGTCAGTGAAGGCTTCACTGTAATCAGTTATTCAGCTCTGGCATTCAGAGTCTCCGCTCCAGACAGAGGAATCCCCGTGGCTCACCACAAACCCAATCAGGCCCTTTAAGTACACAGCTTTAGAGCAAGGTCTGGGACCGCGAGTGCAGCAGCAGCAGCAACAGCAAAAAATGTTTCCAGTTCCCCGGGGTGGTGGTCCACATGCATCTGCAGCCTGTACAAGGGTATTTCACTAATACTTAGTGTCTTTTGTTCAGGCTTCTGTGCTCTGTCACACAGTCTTTTTCCTTCATAGTATTCCCTTCGGACTTCTCCCCGGCTTTTTGATTTGCCCTCTGTTTCCACTTAACAGTCCTGGCTATTTTCCAAGAAACACCTCAGCACCATTCTCCAGGATAAACAGGCTTCTTGTAGTCTGGCAACATGTGGAGAATGGATTGGAGTTTACTGTATGAGCGAATCTACAAAAAAGCACCTAGGCTGCACCCCCCCCCCCCCCCCCCCCCCCCCCCCCCCCTTCTGAGGTTTTAATCACAGACGATTACAAAATGACAATTTGAATGCGGCAACAAAGCGAGCCGTTCCTGTGATTGCTGCCGTAATCTTTCCCGAGTGCAATCAACAACATCGAGACTGCACATCAGTCCTGCAATTAGGCTTGTCAAAATTACAGCGTGGCTTTTTATCCGCGACTGCTTGTTTGATAATGCTTATTGGCAGGTGCCTTTGGAGGAGCAGAGGAAGGGAGCCCACAGCTGATGCATTATGTAAAGCCATACTGTATCGTGCAGGCAGATGTTTCCTCCCAGCAACATAACCATACATCTCCATATCACAGCGGTGTCCTCGGGAGTTCTTCCTGTGATTTTTTTCATTGTCTTTCCCATGGACGCACGTGCCTCGTCCTTGACTTTCATCTTGTCATTGTCTACACAAATTGTTCCAGTGCTGTCTAATCATTTTCTGGTCCAATCAGTTAGTGTGAATGCGTGCATGCCTACTTCAGTGTCGTCCTCAATGTAAAGCATCTTTGCTTCCTTTCATTCTACTTATAGTCCTGTTGACAGCCCCGCAGTATCTATGACCTTGTCAGGAAAAATGCCTTCATTCTCTTCTTTAATAGAGACTTACTGTTACAATACGTATCAACAGTAAGTCACTATGATATACAAGCTGTCATTTGCAGCTACTTTCTACGTAACTTTAACTGCTGTTTTGTCTTCATGGGTTTTATTTGCCAGCACAAAGTAATTTAGTTAGTGGGCTTGACACGTGGATACGTTTTTTGTGGATTTATTTGAAGGAAAGGCTAATTGTTATGCCTCGGAGGTCCGTCGTTAATTAGAAGTTATCTCGGGCAGCTCTCACATGGTCACCGCACTAATTGGCAGTCAAAGCTGTGTACCACCTGGCCCAGCCTTTAACTCACCAGGTGCTCCCAGCAAAGCCGCTGGCCTTGGCATTATGTAGCTGTGGCCTCTTAAATGAAGGCAGACAGCGGAGACAGACAGGTAGAGGAGAGGGGAAGAGGGTGGGCACCATATCAGGACAACTTTGCTGAAATGGCGAAGCTGAAAAACAGCTGCAAAAGGTTATTTCATGCTACGCAGCTGAGCAAGCCTTTTTTTTTTCTTTTCTTTTTTTTTTGGAAGCCGGCATGAAAGAAAGGTTCTGAAAAATTAGTGTAATCTTTTGATACACTCGTCGTCACACATCACACCTCTTTGTTTCGGATTTCTAACACTTCAGGCGATGTGAGGTGGCAGCACATCAACACCAAGCGCAGCCTGTGCAGGGTTTGTTTACCTGTGCTTTACAGAGGAAAAATAAGTTCATCCTGTGACTGAACAATAGCTGGCATCAGAGAGGTTCTGTCCACAGAGTACAGAGCAGATAAGAGAACAATTGTGTAATTAAGTCTGTTTTGCTCTTTGCGGGGGAAATATGAATGTTCAAATCAATTAAAGCCACATTCTAAATTTTTAATTCAGTGCAGTTGCAACGTGGAGGTAAAATCTGTGGAGAAACGGCGGCGATTCAATCAAGAGAGAATGCTGCTGCTTTTCACAGCGCGCTGGAAACTCACACCAGGATCCCACAGAGTAAGCTGGAATAGTGTGAGATTTTTTTTTCCCACGCGTGATTGAGAGTCATGATGCGTCTCTGCCATGGGAGAAAATCCATCTTTGACCCCCATTAATCTTGACTAACTGGTCCAAATCTGCAGCAATCACAATGCCCAATCATAAAGTCTGTAGAAGAGGCCAAGGAAGTGTGACCTGTGTATGACTCAAGCAAAACGTGCCTAGCGTCGCCGTGCTCCGGAGGACAAAAGACCTCTGTCTTTTTGTGCCACAAAGTCAAAAGCTTTGTTTTTGTCTTGCAGCTCCAGCATCTAGGGTTCACAGTAATACCCGAATGTGTCGTGCCTTTGTTCTTTGATCACAATGGGAATTTGAGATGTAAAGCGGATTTAGACAATGTGCCATATCTTGATGGATGGAGCAATAGAAGAAGCGCTTAAAAAACGCTTTGGAGCTGCGTTGTGTTTGCAGCTGTAGGCAAAAAACGTTAACGCTCTACAAGAGAGCTGGGGATGATGTGGATGTGTTTGAATTGTTGTTTTTTCTGTTTATTTTTCCAGGAAATGTTGTGTTTAGGCGCAGAGCTTTGGCAGTGTGTGCTTTATGATAGCAGCCTACGAATTCTGCATATCAGTATATTATATGAAGCACGTCATCGATGAGAAAGTGAGTTATTATCAGCAGGATATTAAGCACCAGCAACAATTAGTCTTAACTAAGTTGCAAGAGTCCATTTAATATATATGTATAAAAATCGACAAACCATAAAGAATAACAAAAACAGCAAATTACTGCCATATGAAGACTAATTGGAATAAACAGGCCTATCACTGCTATAATTACTGATAGTGAAATCATTACTTCCCCTAATGCTTCACTGCAACCACCGTTAATAACACTTCATTAATTAAACATACTATGAAAAACAGCAACACTGCAACTCTGCACTTTGGCTCAATGGAAAGGACTTCTCCTAGACTGGGCCCACTGTAGCTTTACTTTGCTCTGGAGGTCATCTCAGGAATAATGAGGTGGGAGAAATGTAAATACTCCTGTTTGCTTAACTGCCAGAGCACTTAGAATACCTGAGACAAGCCAAATTTGAGATTTAGGTTCGTAATGAGGAGCTTATTATGATACAAGCTGGACCAGTGGAGGGAAAAACAGAGATTTTTGCTATGCCAAAAATACCTGAATTGGAATATGCACAGGAGGATGGATCGACGAATGGATGGATTGAAAACCCTCTTATCTCATTGGTGTGACATTGGGAATTCTTGCCTGTGACTATAAATATGGAGATGAAGAAGTTAGCTTACTTCAGTGCAATAAGTTACCCTGTCAAAGGGATGTTTGGCAGCTTTTAGAAATAACCCTGCTGTATTGCTGTCCCCCTCCAGTCTTCAAGGTAAACTAAGTTAATCTTAATGTTGCTCAAACGTTGCATGGACAGCAACAACAAGTGAATTTGTAAGACAATGACAGCTACAGGGTATTATTACCATTTATTTGCAGTCATGTTTGTGGTAACTTGTAATTGCAAGTCCAATATCCTTTCGCCTTTAAGCTCTGTGTCAGTGCTAACACCTCAGGGAAGGGAATCGGTCCTTTTACTGTGCAGTAATCACCACTGTTGCCCAGCATGTTACTAATGAGACTGTCATTTGATGCTGGGTAGATAGCGAGTGGTGGGTTTTCTGAACCTTGTGACTGGGTGCAGCTATCTCTGATGAAAACAGCTTTGAAACTAAAGCAAATTGCAATTCAGTTAATCCCAGTATAGCAGTTGAAACACCTCATGTGTAATCGTTGAGTTTCATACACACTGATTTGATATAACCTTTGAAAGTGTAAACCAGCATGGATTATATCGTGTTTATGCACAGGCTCTGCATTGATTTTCTTATTTCACAACAAGATACATTGTGAATAAATACAGTTGGGCCAATATACTCTGTATATGTGCCTTTTCAACAGGCTACACTGTATATATAATAGATGGACATAGCCTTTGGATGTCATACACCGGATTTGGACTTTGCCTCAACATGAGTGCTTTTGGTCCACAACTTGAGTGACCAGATGAGGCCCAGTAGACAGCTATCAGCTCCAGCTCCCTGTGTCGGTACACCTGTCAGTCAAACAGACATCCCTCAAACAATAATAACCAATCAGAATTGGTTGACTATAGTAAAGCGCAATAGTTGTGGCTAACAGAAAAATTGTTATGTTGAACATTTGTACTGGGCCAGTTTTTCTAAATCGGGACATTTGGACTACCAAAAGCTACACCTTCATTTACAGCATACAAATCATACACAACTAATTTGTGTCACTTTATCAGCATTCGTTTTACTGAGAGTTTACTGAGAGTTTATTAGTGCTCTAAACCTCTCATAACCGTCTTATAATTTTAGAACTTTTATTTTCTGAACACTTTGCAGTCGAGCTTATTAATGTTTCGTTCGAGAAATCCTTGAAATGGAGGAGAATGGGCACCAGTCTTCATCAGAGCAACACAGACATGCTAGTTGGCTTCTGAAATGGTTATGAATAATTACTGTCTTCAGTTCTGTAATCAGTATTGGAAGTACATCTGGCTGGCTTCTGCATGGGTATACCAGGGATATCAGAAATGTACAGACTCTTTCTAATTTTCTAGTATTTATTGCCTTGTAGGCTGGAATGAAACCCTATTAAATCAAAGCTGATTTTTCCATTTTCCTTTGGATATGCTGAAATAAAGAGCCAAAGGTAGAAATGAGAAGCAGCTAATTTCGGGCAATGTATTAAAAAAGGGGAAGCAAAACCTCCATCGTTGCGTAATGCTGAACATCCCGTAATTTTTGCTTTGATAATAGGTATGACTGTTTTGAAAAGATTTCTACCACCCGAGTAATCTGATTTAGAAATTGTCCCACATTTGTGTCTTCAGCTCATGAGCCTATACGCAGTTTTCTTTTTGGTTCTGTCCACAGAGTTTGTAGAAATGGAGGGATCCAGGAAAAAGACATCCTTTAGGCTGACTGGGTGGTTGACTTGACTGTGTTCTTTGGGTTGTTGTCAAGTTGAAAGATGAAATTCTTCTTTGACATTAGCAGTGTATTTTTCTTCCAGAGGGCAGCAGATTGTCGCCTCAAACAACTTGGTGTTTGGAGCCATTCATCTTCCCCTCTACACTGACCAGAGCCCCTGTCCGGCCTGTGGCATGATGTAGCACTTCAAGAAGCGTACCAGTGTCATTCCTCCACTAAAGCAAGAGCCAAAGCAGAGGTATGTTTTCCATTTATTTAAGTATTTGTGATCAAGGTTATGTAAAAACTGCACAGCCAAATTTCATGAAATTTGGGTAAAGGTGGAAAAGAAGCAAATCAAGAGCCTGTCAGCTTTTGTGGCAATCCTGGTCATTGTTAAAGGGCAAAATGTGGCAGATGATGCACCCTCCAAGTGCCCAGAGGAAGACTGCTTAATTATAGCAAAAGTCGTAATCACACGTTTTTTGGTTGCTATTGTTATGTTGCTTATTTACTACGATTATTCAGAAACATAACACATATCGTGCATTTACTGAATATGGTTGTCTGGCTGGGAGTTTGGGCATGGCTAGGGGGTGTTTTTGTATAGCCAGTCTTGCAAAAGCAGCCTCTGTGAGAGTAAAGAAGGTGGTGGACAGAGCCCCAGTCGCATACCTTGGGAAACCTGCATGGTGGTTATGGGCAAGCAACAGAGAGCCGAACTTTTGTACACTATAGAAAGTGGAGTGTGAGGGAGACCCAGAAGGAGCCAGATAAAAAGGTGGCTGCACAAGAACATTTTTGTAAACTTCCTCTAGCTCATCTAGTTGCTCTTCTCTAGCTAGATCAGATGGATCTAGATTTAGATCTTGGCTCAAGCTGACTAAAGTGGCGAGTGAGCTTGCCTTTTATAGAGATGCAAAAAAGGATGCAATTTACCTCCTGTATAGTACAAGAAAAAGTTTAAGTAAGAATTACCCCAACTTCTCACTTTTTTTCATTATTTTAAATCATCTTCATGGTGGGCAGGACAATAGGCCAATAAAAACTCTTTTGAATATCAGAATAAGCTACATTAAAATATATATAAATTACTCCAATTTCTTGCTTCTTGATCAGCATTTGATAACAGGTCAGATTTTTACAATGGCATTTTCATAATTTAACAAATGCCTAAGCAGCCTGTCGTCCTTCACTCAGTGCACAGCTTGGAACAAAGGAACAAAAGCCAAATCTCCGCCAGCTACTTTTAATATGAGTCTGAATATCATGAGCAGCACAGAACACGTTTAGCTCAAACTCAGCCTCCATCAATCTCAATCCAGATACCTCCTTCTGCAGCAGCTTCTGCTCAACAGTTGTCTCAACAAGTAATAACATGTATGGAACTGTTCAGCTAACACAGCTTTTTCACATCCTGATGATAAGTCATTAATACATCGCAGCAGCACCACACTGAACTGTCACTGTGGAAGATGCAAAACATGGCATTGTTGCATAGCAGCAGGCATGCAGTGCCAAATCACGACAACAAATCACATCAAGGCACTTTATATTGTAAAATACCAACAGGATAATAATACAAAGAAAACCCCAACAATCAGACGACCGATTATGAGAGTGGGAAGGAAAAACTCCCTTTTACCTCAGGCTGAGGGGCTGGGGGTGAGGGGAGGAAACTGGAGAAAAGACACACTGTGCAAGAGAACCAAAGATTAATAATAACTAATGATAATGCAAAGTGGTGTACAAACACATGGCTGAGGTGCCCAATGCATGAACATGTGATTTGTTTCACAACACTTGCATCTTGATGTAATGGCAGTAATAACCTGATAAATAGTCGTTATTGGGCATAGTTTATGTTTAAAAAAGCGAGTGTAGCTAGAGTTTTGTGGTCCTGCTCTCCTTACTCTTTCTTTTTTTGTGTGTTTTGTGCCCCACATTAGCTCTTGAAGTGGGACACTGACGATATGCAGTCTCTTCCCCGCTCATTTACTCAGCTGCTTTTCTGTGAGTGTTCAAAGAGTTACTATATAGCATTATAATGTCCACTTAACGATGCACATATATTTCTTTGCAACACTACCGAACCGTTTAGGGTGTCTGCTATTATGGGTCCCTGTTAATACTTCCTTATTGATTTTTAAATATGGTGTCATAAAAACCTACAGCAGCTTCAGGAAGTTAATTGTAAGTACATAAAGAGTGCTGCTTTCACGGCTTTAATTGGGATTTTCAGTGAATAATTATTAGAATAAATGTGTCTATGCATATCGAGTGAAAAATTTAATTGCAGCTGTTGTTTCTCCAGCTATGATGACAATGATTGCCCCTAAATTTCACTCATTGTTAATTATGTAAAAGACAAAACGGAGGGGAAACAATCAGACCAGCACAGTAATATTGCAGGATCTATAACTTACAATATAAAACACCTTAAAATTAAAAACTGAATACCTGCCATGAATCCGCAATGTGTCATTTTTACTCTGCTGTTTTAAACCAAGTAGTCTGAACTTTATATGTGCTGGTAGGAGGATTTTGTTAGCTTTGGGCTGAGTTAGTCTAGCTGTTTTATGCAAAGCTGAGCTAGCCTGCCTCTGGCTATATGGACACGTAGGGGTTTAACACAGATTTTTCATCCACCCCTCTGCAAGAAAGTTAATAAGAAGGTTTTTGTTGCTTTTAAGCATATCATATCTTAGATTGCATTTAAAGCCAAACTGAGAAACCACCCATTATACAGATATTTGCATCCTCTATGCAGTCACATGGGTAAAGTTTAGAGCTGTCGTCGGTATCATCAGGTTTTGTCTTATATAAAAATAAGATCTGCGTTGCAGACAGTAGATCCACACTTATTTGCTTTATTGGTATACCTCTAATGTAATTTCTTGTCAATAAATGTGAATTGAGGTTGGCTTATATTCTTACAGAAAAATGTTCTAGAAAATCATGTTGAGATGTAAAATTGAATTTCTTTAGCAGACCTGCTGTCTGAAGCTGTGCTGTATGTATGCAGACGTTTCTTGTGCGGGGATATTCCTTGAGGGGGAAAAAAGGTGAGACAGTATATTATAGGATATAGTATCTTTGTACTATTTCAATTAAATATAGGGTTTAACAAGCCAGCGGTGGATCTCACGGACAAACAGAGGAGACTGCATGCTCATTGGCTAACGACTTGTTAATGACGACAAGTTGTTAGCAATCACTGAGTAACCTTCCTTTCTGCCTCTTATAATGATCATAAACTGAACTTCATAATTTATTAAACAAGACCTGAAACTAATCAGGAAAATGTTTACTTGAGTGACAGAGCGAGGAAGCCAAGAGCTGTTTTCACATGGACTTCTATACAACCCAAAGAGTGTCGCCCCCTTCATGCCATTAAAAATTATCTGGGTGATAGGCACTTCTGCACTGCTTCCCTTTTGCAAGCAGAAGCTATGTATATCTTTTATACTGCTCATGCTCTCTTTATATGGCTAGATCAACCCTGTGGCTCTGGTGCCTTTTTAATAGTGCAGCTCAGTGTGGATGTATGCAGACGTTTCTTGTGCGGGGATATTCCTTGAAGGGGAAAAAAGGTGAGGGGCAACATTTGAACCACGTAAAACATTTTTATAACCAAAAATTTAAAAAAACAACAAAACAAACTAAGATGCTTCTTCAGATTCAGCTGCACTTCAGCTGAGTGCATCTTCTTGCATAATTAAGAAAAATTGGATGTTATTTTTAGTGTAAAGGGGAGTCTGCTTTGCCACCTGACCGCTCAGACCCAAAACCTTGCAAACATGCAAATGAGCTGCTGTATCCATTGGTATGGGATTCCGGCACTCAGAACATACTGCAGCTGTTATTATTGCTGCTGGCTGCTTTGCTCCCCTGGTGTGCTTTTGTCTGCACAGTCATTCATCTCAGAACAACCCCCTGCTTTAGTTAAATCCTACTACTATATTACTTCTAGACTCTGATTGGAGTTTTCATAATAGTTTGGGCTGCAATTGAATATTTAATTTCTTTTGTCTTTTTTTTTAAAAAATCTAATGCTGTGGGGAAAAATATCATACTTAAGGGCGTAGATTTGTGTGCTAATAGTTTTAACTGGAGCTTTGAGGATCACTGGTATTGCTGTATGTTAGTGCTGTTAAATGAATGTGTTATCTGGGTGTACCATGGAGTATTAGGGAAAGTACATTTTAAAAAGGGCTATAATTTATTAAAATGATTAATACTTACTAAAGATAATGTGGGGCAATAACATTCAAGCCAGAGATGCCTTTCAAATTATTTAAACTGCATAGAAAATATTGCCAGTAACATGTTTCCAACAAGCTGTAAAAGAGGCTTGTTTACCACTATGTTACATCAAAAAGTGTCAAATGTTTTTAAAATGTAACCAGCTTTGATATCAGACAGCCCACTTTAGCCTTTCGCTTTAGTAAGGACCCATGCTCTTTGTAGCTTTGTATTGTCCTGCTGAAATAAGCAATGCTTGATTTTCTCCCTGTCATTACTCCTAAAACTCATTTCTACCCAGTCATGTTACTAATGAACCAATCAGTTTATTGTTGTCCTACTCCCAGCAAAACAGCAAATAATTACCTGTTCCAATATAGGATATAGTATCTTTGTACTATTTCAATTAAATATAGGGTTTAACAAGCCAGCGGTGGATCTCACAGACAAACAGGACACTGCATGCTCATTGGCTAACGACTTGTTAATGATGACAAGTTGTTAGCAATCACTGGGCAATCTTCCTTTCTGCCTCTTATAATGATCATAAGTCACAAACTGAACTTCATAATTTATTCAACAAGACCTGAAACTAATCAGGAAAATGTTTACTTGAGTGACAGAGCGAGGAAGCCAAGAGCTGTTTTCACATGGACTTCTAAAGAGTGTCGCCCCCTTCATGCCATTAAAAATTATCTGGGTGATAGGCACTTCTGCACTGCTTCTCTTTAGCAAGCAGAAGCTATGTATATCTTTTATACTGCTCATGCTCTCTTTATATGGATAGATCAACCCTGTGGCTCTGGTGCCTTTTTAATAGTCCAGCTCAGTGTGGATGTATGTGTAAGTTTGACAAAATCAGTTCTCTGATGCTGGAATAAAAAATGTATGTAGTACTGATGCTGAATAAGTTGTCAGTTCAGTAACTGCAGTGAAATTAAGAGTAGGGATTGCAGACAATGGTAAATTAAGATATCTTATTTACATTTAGACAAAATGACAAACTTTCTCTGA